CCAGTGTGCACCCCGCCCCTCGCACAGTGACTGCTGGATTTGGGCACCAGTAATCCTGGAAGGAAGAAGCAAGCTAAGATAATGAATGGATGTATTTTTTTTTTATCAAATATATTCAATTAATTATTCCAGAGCAATTCATACCTTATTCTTAATTGCAAATTCCCACATCCATTCTCATTCAGCTTGCCCATCTTAGATTTTTCACCTTCCTAAATTTCTCATTTGCAGAAGCCAATTTTTTTTTAAACATAAAGTTTTAAAATAAGCTGTAAAATTATTTAATTGTTCTTTTGTAACTGTTTTTATAAAAGCCCTTGCTCAGGTTAATTATATTTAATTTTTTAGCAATATGCATTATTATAGGCTGTCTTACACACAGACCAGTGATAACTGAGCATTTGTGAAGCCATCGCTTCCCTTTCCTTTTCATCACTTCAAAGTCTTTTAACATTCATTGTGCACCCACAAAAGTCTACGTTGGACCCCTATCCAAAGCGTGCAGACTGTGTGACTGGTTTGACAAGATCTGATAAAAAATGACAGCTACCCACATTTGAGGACATGACCTTTCTCCACATCATATCTGATGGTAAGCAGATTTAGGTTACCTCTTCTTACAGTCCTGCTGGATGCAGCCCTGATGGCAGATGGAGAGTTCATGAAACGATCAGGGCGAGGATGGCTGTCAGACACACTCGACAGCATGAGAAACACGAAGAGCAAAAACGAGAACCTCCACCTTGCCTTCCAAGCCATCTGTGGACAGAAATGTGCTGTGTGTGCATGTGATTACAAAATAATCCTTAGGGACTGATTTGATAACATTTATGTACAAGAGGGTGATGCTCTGTGATGACATACTGATCTCACACTGATACAATTCAATCTAAAAACAATGGGTGTAGCTCAGCTACTGCTTATCTATACAACACAAGCAGAGACAATGACAAAAAAATCAAAGTCTGATCAGATGACTTGTCTCCAAACAGCTTTACTTACATACATTTATACAACATGAGCAGTAAAATGCAGCTCAGTGTTTATTAAAAACACTAACAGTAAAAATAAACCTGCTTTTCAATTCCTACTGAAATTAATATTTCATTGGAACACAAACAAGATAACAAGTACTTTTGTTGTAAAAGCTGAATTGAAACAAACTAATTTAAACACAAAGCTAAAAATGTAGCAATAAATTTACCATTTAGCTTTGACAACTTAATAAAACAATATAAATGCTAATCTGTTAGGTGAGATGAATATTTTTCGTACCTTTCGGCGCTGTGAGGACTTTACTCAAAAGTAAAAACAACCGCAAACATCGCAGAAACTCAGGATTTAAACTTCTTTCCGTGTTCTTGACGTAAAACGTAAACTTCCGGAATTAGGGGTTTCACAATAAAAGCTTAAAAAAATAAAAGGCTCGAGTTTGAGTTAGTTTTTGTTTCAATATTTTTCTTGTGTTACATTACACATGTGAAATGTATTTCCAAAAATACTTTTTATGCTAATTAAATATACTGCTTATGTTTGTCTCAATGTAAATGTATTTATTAAAATCCTAAATGCATGAAAGTTAAGTTTTTTTTGTTTTGTTATTCACTGATGATAAGTATGACTTTTTTCCACTAATAAAATTTAACATACATAAATTTGTGCTTTATATTAATCACTTTAATCTTAAATTAGTCTTTTTTATTTTCTTGATTATTAATCATGTTGTTGTTATAGATACACTTAATAAAAAATATTAATAAACTTATCATTTTAAGTTTTACTCCATTTCATCCCAAACTGTTAGTACAGTATGTTGTATTTGTAACAAATTGTGTTGCTGGTTCTCAGTCTTCCATTACAGAATGTACAAAGTAGGCTACTTTGCTTTCAAACATTTAGTTATTACCCACACTGTGGAAAACACAGCACTTATCAGCCCACATCCTAATTTGTGGTTTACACCCCCACCCCGGCCTTTTTCTTTACCACAAATCTGTATCTTTARCATTTCTCTGCAATCATTGCTATTCACTGGAAGAGGTCCACCCCTTTCTGATTAATTCTGTTCCACATGAATGACGGTTAATTTATTTGATTTCAGCACAGCTTTTAGTCCCATATGGCCTCTTTGTGTTTTACATCTTTAGGTCTTGAACAACATCTTGGTACTTTGGTTTAATCTAACACTACAGACCTGGCTCAGCACACCTGGTTACAAGGTTTTGTGTCTGCGCAAACATGAGAAACAAGCTTTGCCTCTTAAAGATATTATCCATTATTTCAAAGCCAAAGTTTGACAGCCCAGACGTTTCACAGTGATGTATTTTCTCAGTGAACAATAAGCACAGATTATAGATGTCAGAGGAAGAATAAATAATATAGCCTAACAGAAAACAGGGATGAAAAGTGGGGAAAGTAAAGAGGCAAACAAGCAAGGCAGCAAAATATTTGAACAGTAGCCCACTTAGTCTGCGTTGGTGATGTGTATGAAAACACAAAAAAACACATGGAGAAACTAATTACCAAGGTAAATAAATAAGGCTCTTTCACGTCTGTATTAAAGGCACATTTTATTTCAGCAGTGAAYTTTAAAGTACAATGTCAGCAACATAGTTCACACTTTTTTCCCATAAAAATAGCTCACGATTGATGAAAATATAAAGATTTTACCTACATATAACTAATTGTTCTTTTGTAATCACTGATGAATTTAATAAAAAGATATTTAATGTTGCTAAAATTGACTAAAGAAGACAGTCAAAAATGCCAAAGGCTGAATTTGTGTATAGTTCTGTACAATCCTAAGTATCATCCACRTTTTCCTAATTCTAGCTTAAGTATAAGTTATATATAAATTAAATGTACATGTAGAAGTTTAGAGATGATATAAGTGATATATTTAAGTACTCGTCTTTACGATTTGGGTTTATTCAGGACAGAAGTCCTCCTTGACCACGCTGGTGCAGGGACACAAAGGTTTTTATCTTTGTTTAGTCTTTTGATTCTGTACAGCTCAAAGTTCAAAGCCCAGCAGAAACACTAAAAGCCCTACAGATGAAAGTGAATCAGCACTGTTGTGAGGCACCGAAGAACCGAGAGTTCACAAAAATATCACGTAAAACGACGAGTCACAATGTGTCGGTGACCACAGCTTCCTGTTTATTCCAGCCACAGTAAATAGGTAGTTTGCATTTGAAAAAAAAAAATCTAGAGTTGTTTTCAAAGTGTCACTTCAATAAACAGAAACTGCACAAAAAGCAACACAAAAAGGACAATGACTCAAGCCTGACGAAAAAGAATTCATGAAAAATATCTGAAGAAATGCAGAAACCAATGTTATCTTTGTTAGAAAAAAAAATAATGAAAATTTTGAAATCAAAGTAGTTTTGGTGACATTGGTTTGCAGTCTTCGTACCAAACGCAGATCTGAGTCAAGTCAAAAGTGGAAATAAAATGAGTAACGTGACTTTTTAAACAGCATTAAGTTTCTGATTCAATAAGAAGCTGTGAAAGTTTTCAGACAGTGGATGAAGGAAGTACCTGGTTCACAACTTTTCTTTTTCTTACATACATTTTCATCATAGTGTATGTTTATATACTAATAAAATAATCACCCTTTTGTTGTTGCCGTTTACTGCCTCCCACCATGCTTCTCTGGCTCTTTGATGCAATCCTTGCCTTTCAACTCTAGTCGCACACAGATATTGATCTACTGATGACAAATAATTATATTATTTTAATGCATTTTTTTTTTGTTTTAAACGATCCAAGCTTGTTGGGCAAAAAAACTGCAGAACTATAAATTTCAGTAACTTTAAAAGGCGTCACTGTTCCTTTTACTTCAAAACCACCACGGCAGCTGCTTGTAGCGAACAGTTAAGAGAGGAATGTGCTTTGGCTCCCTCCAAACACTTTGGTCACTTTGGGTTTTGAATTATAGTCATTTAGCTTTGGCTCTACCTGCCTCACATGCCTGCAGAACCAAGTTAGCAAGTAAAATAAATCCTGAAAGTAATAATGAAAAATAATAATAATAATAAAGTTCTAAATATGCATACCTGAGGGACTTCTACTAAGGCTATGTAACAATATAACAGAAATCTCTTTTGATTTTGGCTTACAGAAATATAATCTCTACACTTTAACACATTTAAAAATCCACTAAAATTACTTACATGAAACAAGTTAAGCACATTTATATTTGGTCAGTTCTATAAGTGTCAAACATATGTGGGGAAAAACACACGTTCGTACCTGCAGAGTAACAAAATCTCTCAAAGCAATACTGGACAGCATACGAAAAGACAATATTCATTTCATAACAAAAATATTCATTTCAACAAAAGAAAGCATACAGTAAATGAAACAAAACACACACAGTTGTTAACAAGCAGAGCAAATATGACCTCAAAGGGCAAAATGAATTAATCTGAAGACCCTTTGTAATACTATTTGCATATGTAGTACCATTTCAGCGTAAAGCAAATCAACCAAGGAAAACAACTGAAGCCGTTGTTCTTGTTTCTTTCATCATCTTAATGCAGGAAAATTGAGAAGAACCAGTTCAGCTCTCAGTTTTTTTTAAGGGACAATGAATTACAGTGTGGTTCCACTTGGAGGGATGGTGAGTCTAAAGGCACAGTGTTATCAGAGRTGTAAGGTTAACCATTTTATAGCAATAAAACATGTGACTCACTGATACCAAAGAAAAGATTCATTTCATAACATGTAAAGTGAATATTTATGACAAAGTCCTTCTTAGGCAGGCACGTTTCTTTATGACCCTTCCTGTAAAAAAAAAAAAAAAAAAAGCTGTCGAGAGAAAAAAAAAAAAAGATTGAACGTAGGAAGAGGACAAAAGGCGTTAATGATGAGGAGAAAGAGTCCAAACTTCATCGAAGGGAATCATCTTCAGCTGTTTAAAGATCCGTTTGTTTGTCCTGTCCTGATTGGCAGGAGACAGAGTCCACCTCAGATTGTCCCTGTGGGTCGGTTCAGGCGTAGAACTCCTTGGTCGGCGCCTTGTGATAAGCTGTTGCAGAAAGCTTGGTGTCTCCCAGCTCGTAGCTTCCTTCATCCTTCTTCTTCATGCGGTAGGCGAGGAGGAGGAGGAGGGAAACGGCACAGAGGAATCCGACCACTCCGCACGCAATCACAGCTGGGAAGGACACATCAAAAATACGTTATTTTCCTCAATTTTCACCAACATGTTAGTTAAAAGTGTTACTCAATGACAGTCCTCTGATGCTGGGAGTTTTTTGCCTTTCATAAGACATTTCTTTTTAGAAATATCACTAATCCAAATAAATTCATTAAGGAGACATWTCATGCTTTTAAATCCTACTTTWTCACATTTAAACCGTTCAGMTGGGATCTATACAAAGTGGAACTAYGTTTTGATCTGAACTCYACAAGCCTCTCATTTACCCCTTTTCTGAGATGCGTCTCAGATCAACTCATTTTGAGGCTGTATCTTTAAATACAAACAATGAGCTTCACACTCTGCCCCACTCCAGCTTCCAGACCAGTTCATTCAGAGGGGTTTATGACCATAKAGCGGTGCAGAAATCTTTTATTTACAAATTAATTAAAAGGTGTCAACAATGAAAGACTTGTCCATCCAGTCTTACATGTTGGAACCAGAGTCTGACCCAGAACCAGAGGAGAATGAGGACCACCAAAGTGTAGCTTGTAAGTCCAGACCTGATTTAGAAATTCCATCAAATATACTGTGACTTAGTTCAGAAAATATTGTAGAAAATAAAGAAAACTAAACRGGTTGAAAAATACAACTTCAACAAAATATAATAATATTGACGTAACACCGGGAGAGACTAAGCTTTTCTGCACTCCTAGAGACTCCAAGYACACCACAAAATGTATTTAACAGCTAAAAAGTGGATTTTGCCTGAAATGTCCCCTCCCCCCATTAAAAAAAAAGGATAACCTTACCTGCGAGCACATCTGTCCGATCCCACAAGTTTTCAGAGGTCACCCCCTCTGCAGAGTTTATCTCATGCATTCTGCCGTGTGGTGCTCCCTCAGCAAGAATCCTRTTATCAAACTGTTTTGTGACGTCTTCGTCGACATAGTCACTGCCCCAGTTGGACTCGGTAAAAGCATCGGAAGGAATGTCAGTAGTGGTATCGATGACATCGTTGGATGTGTAGTCCTCTCCTGGAATCTGAAAGAAATTTAGAAATTAATGATTACACGACCCGTGAAAGAACACAATTCTAAGTAAACAWGCGTTCACATCCATGTTTTCTTGAGACCCAACATTTTGAGTGTTTGTTTAACCTTTAGAATCAGAACCTGCGCAAAAGAAGAAGTGTATTATGACCTCACCATGATTTTGTTGCCAGAGAAAGATGATTCAGTGACCTCTGATGAGTGTTCTGGACGCTGACCTCCTGCTGCTGTGGTTGTTGAGATGTAAGGTTCTGATGTTGGTAGAGCCTCTGTGGGCCGAACGGTTCCAGAGGAGCTATGTCTTTTTAATAGGTTGTCAAGGTCTTCAAATATWGCTGTGACAAAAATAAATAAATAAATAAATCAACTAAAGCACACACGCATCACATTTTTAACCTCTTATTAGTATTTAATTGCACTGTTTTGCAGATGATGCACAGATTTTTATGCCCTTGAGTCCAGATAATCCAACATCGATTACGTTAGTTCTATAAGTCTGAGATCTTATGGACCGTTATCTTAGGCTCTTTAAATATTTCCATAAACCCAGCTTCTCACTTGAAGCCATTTAATCTTTAAAACATCAAAACAAAACTGCCGTAACTAATTTTGTGAGAAAGAGCTGTACCTTTTTTTTTTTTAATAAAACAACTTGAAAATATTTCCAAGCACCAACCAATTCTATGATRCGCAGGCAGTTATTTCAGCATTAACCACCTCTGTTACTGTATCTCTCTTTATTTTGGCATCAGTCACTTTCTGTTGTCCTGTCTGCAGCTGGTTCAACATTCTGCAGTTAGACACCAAGAAATGAGTCAGTAAGGCCCGGTCTTAGATCTTTTGAACAACTCCCTTTAGATGTTCCACGTTCGGGACTGGTCCGTAGGAAGAATTGTACCCTAAATATGTAGAACCATAATCAACTGCACTCCCTTTGCTGAAGCTTTTACGATGCAGCTAAGACCATTTAACGTTTCTTGTTTCCATTAAGATATTGCTTTGGTTAATGCAGAACTAAATGGAAACTTTAGCACTTACTACTGGTTACAATAAAAGTTTCACTCACTGTGATTCATTTATTTATTTATTTTACCTTAAAGGAATTGTTTTCCATTTGTGGCCGACCAATAAAACCTCACCTGGTTAACAAATCATCACCTCAGGACAAACATCTGCCTTATTTTGAATACTTTGAGTCTCATTGTGCAAGAAGTAGTGCCTGCAGTATTTTTTGCTCATGTGTCTACATGTGGAAATCACGGCGATGTCAAATATTTTAACTATATGTTACCATCAATGTTTCTATTTCAGTAAGAAGACAATCACTGCAATCCAAAAATATAAGACTTCTAAACTCAATATATTGCTACTGTAAATCTTTAATATACGTGTTTTAGAAGTGACTATTTTAAGCTGAAGCTGGTCTTAACTTATACAATGTGTTCACGATACATTAAACCTTTCAAAACAGGGAATAAACTCAGATAAAGAAACAAACAACAACAGCTAAAAATGCCAACGTATTCTTACAGTAGTCTCCAGATCCTGAGCCTGATCCATCATCATTGTCATCGCCACCTTCATCATCTACAGGAGAGTCTCCTGAAGGTAAGCCTTCTATGTACAGATCATCAGTCACTTGTGGAAATGGCTCAGACGAGACAAAGAGCTGTAGGAGAGGASAAAATGCAAACGTCATTCAAAGAGACAAATCCAAAGAAAGACACACACAAATTCACACTTGCAGAATTCCTCCCACTAATTGAAACCATGTGAACGTCTCTGCAATCTGAGAGTAAGACAATACCTCTCACAACCAGTGATGTGTGCTGACCAAATATGCACAAGCGTGTGTTGCTTTGAGACGAACCACAGTTTGTACTGCTTCCACGTTATTTTGTGCGCAGCGGATCTGAGCTGCATTTGTGCTCATTTCATGTGTCATGGTTGTAATTTGTGATTCTTAGCAGAGCCAGACAGCAGAGATCTAAGTGCTTTTGAGCTGAGGAAGGCGGAGGAGGGGAAAGATAGAGCAGCTTCAAAGACGACATACAGAAGAGAACAGACAAAACACCTCCCCAAACACACACGCACCAAAAATCTCTGGAAGAACTCCTACCAACTCAAAGGCCACACCAAAGATGTAGATAAAAAAACAAAAACAAAGATATGCTTTCCTCTCAGTCTAATCAGTCGTGAGTTATTGCCAAGAAGAGCTCAGGCAATCCAGGAAAACAAAAGTAAAAATTTGATTAAAGACTAAAACTGTAAAAAGAGGCAAGAGGAGGATCACACAGATGGTGTCAAGACAGAGAGAGACACAAACATGGATGAATATGGCCCATTGAGACTTGAAGTATGTCTGGTATGTATACTATGCTTCTACTAACACAGGTGCTGAGAGATTTAGAAAGGAGAAAGACTGGAGAAAGGAAGAAGAGACAGGAACACTACTGTGTTTGTCTCTTTAAAAGCAGGTGCTGTCGACAAAAAGAAGGCGTGAGAGGGGAGGAATCATTGTCTTTCTGCGATAAATATTACCTGAGGGTGGTTCATGTTAAGACAAATCTTACAGAAAATATCTTCCCAATTCAATTTAACATTTATTTAACATACACTTTTTGCTTATCACACACAAATGAGCATTTGAAGTCAACAAAAGTTGAGTCTGGTGTGTACACTGTTGTGAAAAAGGCCCAAATAGAAAAGTATTACCATTTACTTTTACAGAACTACGGCAGACTAACTGTGGTAATGCACAGGCTGACTGAAAAAGCAGAAGAGGCTCATCCCATCCATGCCATATTTAGTCAGGGATTATACACCCATATGCTAACAAAACAAAGCACACAGGCAGAAATATAAAAAAGGCTGCATGTTGTACCAAACAACTGTTTCTCTATATGATACATTTAACGTGTGTGAATTCAAACTTTAGGCAAACACCCAAAAAGTGTTGTAATCTTAGTATATGATTTTAGTTTTCTGCCAAACAAACCAAGTGGGAACTGTAGCTGTGGTCAACTTCAAATGTACATTTTTACAGGAAGTCATTTTTTGGGCTCGGATGAGTTCATTTTATTAACAGTACCTACGGTTCGCACTGATTATGGCAAAAGCTCCTTCCACTTCKCTGCTCCTTCAGCCTGAATCTACAGCAGAAAGACTTGAAGTTGAAGAAGTTGGTCTCTTCATGTTTTTAGGGCCATTTTTAATGACTTTGTACTTAAGACATTTGTTTGTAAATGTTTTAACTGATTTTGTACTCTATTTTAGTCCTATCTTACCTTTTATGAGTGTTCCTTGTTTTTCTCTTATTTATCATGAAGTATTTGATTGTAGTTTAATATCTGTAGTTTTGAATTTTGTCATGTTTTGTATGCTGCTGCCGTTCTTGGCCAGGTCTCTCTTGAAAAAGAGATTTTTAATCTCAATGACATCTACTTAGTTAAATAAAGGTTAAATAAATAAAATAAAATGCAAACAGACTGATCTGCCCCAACGAGGAAGAAGTAAAGTCCTCTTGTCGGAAAAAATAATAATAAWAATTTGCCTGACTTTGACATCAGGAACAGCTGAACTGACATAACAAATGCACAGTTATCACAATAAACTAAATTCTCTCTGCACACTGTGGGAGATTGAGGTTAAAACCATGCCGATCATTAATAAGAAGTTTAATATCAGTGCATAGTATGCAGTAATTATCCCTTTAAGGAGTGCATATCACCTGCTGCCTTTATGACAGAGTTTTAAATAACAACCATGAGAAAGGGCCAGAGTTACTGCTGTTTTGGTCAAGTCTTGTAAATAACATTATACACAACCTCATGTAATAACGTAAGGTCTTAAGACGTTAGCACTATGAATACATATCAGGAATAACTACGGTACTACTACCACCACACAAAGCTGAGGTCCATATCTGTAAATCTGACAAAGTTATAGCATTTTTTTCTGTCCGCTAAGGTCAGTTAGCTGTGGTGGCCATCTTGAATTGAGGTGTTTCCAAATTTTAGAGATGTAGATGCGCATCTAATAATTACATTCTGAGGGTTTCACTAAAATCTGCCAAGTGATTCATGAGGTGTTTTTCCTCACAGACTGACAGTGTTGTCTGTAACATTTATTGCCAACGTTTTAAGCAAACATATTCTGCAATGTGTAATACTTGGATCATGTGTTGTGATTCACTCTCAGCTAGTTGCTTAGATGTGGCAGCTATCTTGAATCTTGTTGACTCCAAAAGTTACTCATTTGCAGAGGATGAACTAGTGAATTCTGAGAATGTCATTACAATCCATCCAGTGGTTCAATAAAATACTTCGCTAACAGATAAACACATGCTCACACAGTACAGAGTGACGCTGGCAAAAATACGATCAGCCTTTCATCTTCATCTTCAGAGATAATAAGGAACATGCACAATCACACATTAAAGAAACAACCCATTCAAGTATGAAAGGCCCTTACACCCATTCAGTTGTGTTTTTTTTTTTACCCTAAAATGAGCATGTGTCTACTACAGCTGTGGGTGTAGATTATCAGGCATCCATGACTATCCTGGACTTCTGAAGACTTTTTTACTCTCATCCAAAAGGATTCAGGAGTCTTTTTTGAATGAGAGGTCAAACGTCTTCAAGAAACAACAAAAACGGTCGTTTGGTTTTTGCTATAATTGTATGATAAAGTCCGAAGAACTCAAATTGAAATTAATTCAATTGATCAACATCACGTCCTGTTTTTACGACAAGATTCAGCTGTTCATTATCATAATTTGGTGTAAATGGTGTGCGCGTAATTTTGTAAASTTGATCAAAATGCATACTCAAMMAA